TCATTCTTCCCCACATCTAGTTCCATTTCCATTTCACAGGGTTAGCAACATTTAGAGTTTTGAATTCTTTTGGGGAGTTACTTTCCTAAGTCTAAATAATATTCTTCTACCGTTATTTATTGATTTAAATTTTATCTGTTGACACCTCATTATGAAAGGTGAAGATTTAGCTCAGGTGTACTAATCCTTCCCCTTCTAATTTTCATTAGTTTGTATACAGTAATTCTTTCACTGATTATTTGTAACTGTAAACAATACATTTATTTATTAAAATTTATCTATCTATTTATTTATTTTTGGCTGTGTTGGGTCTTCGTTGCTGCGTGCGGGCTTTCTCTAGTTGCGGCGAGTGGGGGCTACACTTCGTTGCGGTGTGTGGACTTCTCATTGCTGTGGCTTCTCTTGTTGCGGAGCACGGGCTCTAGGCACACGGGCCTCAGTAGTTGTGGCTCATGGGCTCTAGAGCGCAGGCTCAGTATAAACAATATATTTAAAGTTTTATTTTTGTTTCATGGACTTTAGATGGTGTGTCTTGACTCTGCTATGTTGTATGTATTAGTGCTCCTATCCTTGCTTTCCCCTGTTCTCTTTCTATTTCCCATAGTCCTTCTGCTGTACCCTCATATTGTCAAGGTTGACAATATTTACTTTGTTTTGTAATCATATGTAAGTCATTCATTTTTTATGTATAAGTTGAGTCTAAAGTTGAAAACCAGTGAATAGCATTTATAGGATATGAATGACTAAATCTTGTTCACTGCAGAGCCAAGCAATATGTTGGGATCCTAGAACTTTTTTTCTGCCTGCAGTATCTCACCTCTGTGAAATTGAAAGGAGAATGTTCCTTCTACTCTAGCATTCTGTTTTCTTTTGCTACATCAGGTGCTCTAAAATCATTCCACATTTAGTTGGTAAACTGATATTTACATACATATTAAGAAAGACCAGAAGTGGTGTTACAATTGCATAGTAGACGTTCCATAAATGAATGGCTTGCATGACACTCTTACGGAGAAAAAAGACAAGAGGAAAATGAAGGAAAACATGAGAAAGAAAAGAATTTCAAAATAAGGGTGCATTCCAAATGGCCTGCTTTCTGAGAGTTGAACTGTATTTGAGTAACTCATGTCCCTCAATCCAGTTCCAAAGATAATATTGCTGCTGCTGAAACTTGGGCTTTGTACTGTAACCAGAGTTTATTAATTGTCCTATTTCATTGAGGAAAAAATGCAAAGCAGACGGAACACTGGAGTAACTAGCTGGAAATATTCCACTACTTCATGGGAAGCAGCTTTCCAAACGATTCCTGTGGAGGCCAAACTCTTGGTCTAGCCAAAATAGCACTAAAGTGTGCCTTGATGGTACATTAAAGAAGAAATTTTTCCCCAATTTACTTGATTAAGATTTACAGCCTTTCCATCCCCTCAAAACCATAGCATTGATTTCTTCAATATCAAAAAATAATTTCCTAAAATAGATTGCTAATGACTGCTTTCAGTTATTTATTTAAGGATTGTGCCAAGTACTGCTTGTATGAATTCCTGTAAAAGGCCGAATTAAATCCATAATTTTCATAATTAATGTTATTCCTCTTCTGTAAGAATTTGCTATTAATGTGACTGGTCATCCTCACGTCTCATTTTGATATCTCTCAAAACATCTTTTACATTATAAATAAGATATTAAAACATTGATCATAGGAAAGTGTTTTGCTTTATAGATCATATTCAATCAAATCCTATGTTTTTCACTTAATATTGACATTTTTCATGTTATTATAAACATAGTTTTTAATGGCTACATATTATTCTACTAGATATACCTACCATAATTTACTTAACCACTTTTCCATTATTGAGCATTTAGGTAGTCTTTTTTTTCAATCTAAATAATACACAATGAGTATCTTTGCATATAATGATTTCTCTGATGTTAGTCTTATTTCCTAAGATGCAAGCTCCCAGGGGTCAAATATTATAAATATTTTCAAGGTTCGTTGGTCAAATTACATTCCAAAGTCAGTTCCAATTTACACTGTTACCAGCATCTTAATTGTCCAAATGGTAGAACAGAATTTTCAAAGTATTTCACTAGTGTTGTTTTGGTTCGTATGTCGAGATGATCCAGAAAACCATTAAATAGTAAATATGTGGAGATAAAGCATTTGACTGACTGTGTACATATTTTATCTAAGCAAAGCCTCAAAGTTAAGCCAGAAGCCATTGTTCGTACTAATGATGTCTCAGACCTGGAAAAGTACTTCTAATTTTTGCAACATAAAAGAAGTAAGATGACAGTGACAGAACTGAATGACTAGCCAGACCTGCTGACTTAAAGGTAGAGTTAGGATTTGAACATAGTGTAAGTCTCCATTTAAAAGTCTAAACTTTGTTCACTCTGAATTTGGGACTTTGCTGTACTTAAAGATATTTTTATAACACCAGAAAATAATAGAGAACAAATGTGAGATTGCTAAAATGTATGCCACTATTGTCAGAAGTTGCAATTACAACTATCTTCATTAAGCTGTTAGTTTGATTATATTTTCTGGAGTAATAAATGTTATATTCTAATTTAAAAATTAAGAATAAATGTTTAATTTATTTAAATTTAGATAATTGAAATACCAATTCTTTTTGGAATATTTCAATATTATTTTTGCTTATCGGAAAGTTATTTGCTTTTTATGTTTACTAGTATACGACCTATACTTGTTTTCTGCTATTTAAAAATAAAACAAATCCTAGTCAAACTTTTTAAAGAGTATTATCTTGATAACTTGCTCCCTAAGAATCTAATGCAAACTAGATCATTTAATTTTTTTTAAAGTTTTTTAAAATTTATTTATTTTATTTTGGCTGTGCTGGGTTTTAGTTGCAGCACAGGGGATCTTCGTTGCGGCATGTGGGATCTTTTAGTTGCAGCATGTGGGATCTTAGTTGCGGCATGCATGTGGGATCTAGTTCCCTGACCAGGGATCGAAACCAGGCCCCCTGCATTGGGAGCGTGTAGTCTTACCCGCTGGACCACCAGGGAAGTCCCCAAAATAGATCATTTTAAAAGCAAGTTATGTGGTGTATTTCCATATGTAACACTGAAAAGCCTCCTTGCTTTAAGTCCTTGGAAGGAAAGTTTTTTTAAAAGAACTAACACTTTCAACTGTAATATGAAAGAGGGATGCTGAAAATGAACAATGTTGTTCCTTTAATCTCGTGCCTCATAGTGACAGATCAGAGACCTTCTGGAGACTTGGTTCACAAACACATAATATGTAACAAAATTACCTTCTTAATGTCAAATTAGATAGAAGCTAACATTTAGAGAATTTTCTGGTTTAATATATATACCAAGGCTTTGGAAGTTAAATATAAGAAATTGTGCCCCTATATAACATTATCTCTTAACTATATTTAGGAATATGAAAACAAACTAGGAAAGATTTATTGGTTGAAATAATTATTAATTTTTGTGTTGACATTCACTTTAGAACATGTGTATTTGAAAAAAAGAATTTCAGCATTTCACATAGGAGGAAAAAAAATCCAGTTCTTAGTTTTTTAACTCTGCTTTTTAATTTTATGTTCTAAAATATATCTACAGTCTACCTCTCTAAGATTATTATTGAAGTCTTTCATTGTTAAAGCATAAAGGTTCCTACTTATAATCAAATTATATGTTCCAAATTCAAAATTAAATTGTCCTTGCCCACTGTTGAGCAGTATGTAAATACATTTTAAAAAATAGCCGTGTTGGGACTTCCCTGGTGGTCCAGTGGTTAAGACTCCACGCGCCCACTGCAAGGGGCACAGGTTCGATCCCTGGTCGCAGAGCTAAGATCCCGCGTGCCACACGATGCGGCCAAAAAAATAAAATAGTAAATAAAAAAGTAAAATAAAAAATATCTGTGTCATCCAAAAAGTTTTGAAATTCTTCTATCTACTCTGATAATAAATTAAAGTTTAAAAATGTTTAAAATGTTAAAAAATTTTGTTTTAAGTAAAACTTATTTTTTTAGCATTTCACTGTTTCTTTCTGACTTTGTAATAGTTATAACATGTACAGACCATGTGTTGTTTTCAAAATGCTTATTTTTTCATACATGGTAGACTTTGTTTATGAAAGTATAAGGGAGTTTTTTGTTAATGTAGTGGTAAAGAAACCTATGTATATCTTGAGAGTATATATTACAAACTTTCTTTAAGAAATGATGAGACATATCTTTGACTCAATAGGAAATGTGTGTTGCTGTTAGCAAGCCTTAGTGTCTGCTAACCTGCTTTTTTTTTTTTTTCAGTGTAAGCACTGTAAGTTTAAGGACTTTGCAAATTTAGGATTATATAAATGTTTTTACTTCTCTTATTTTTACCTGTGACATCACTAGTTATAACATGAAGCTTTATCATCTAAGGACACATTTGGTTCTTTTATGAGCCATTTAATTTTCATCTTTTCTGTGATCACACTTCTTGAACATGTGGAATGAAAATGTAATTTCATACTCTTTATGATGAAAAAGAAAATATATACCCTTATTGCAGGATGAGGGTATTGTTTCTATCATGAATACATTATCATATCCTAGGTAGCCTGGAAAAGTGAATGTCTCTGAAAGTATGATACAACTTTTGTACTTTATCAAGTCTTATTTACACAGCAGTTTTCAGAAACTGTTGCCAATGAAAACTTACATTTGGACAGTGTAGTCTGCAAGTACTGTTTAGTGAGAAGTGGGTTGTTCTTGAGTAATTATTCTATTTGAATTTATGCAGCCTGGTAGTTGTTAGACAACCTTGATAATTGCTAAGCTCTACTTATTCTAAGAGGACGCTGTCTTCATGGATCATAAGTTTTCGGGTTTCCCCCAAAGTCATTACTTCTGCTTTAAATTTAGTGTGACAATCCAATAGCTATCAGGTAGTAGTGGAATAGCTTTCTTCTGTGTAAGACTTGGCACACAAATAGTTTTGTGTAAAAATAACAGTTATAATTTCTCTTAACAGCTGTGACATCTTATGAAGATCTTGGACTCTTTGCATTTGGATTACCTGGAAAGGTAATTATTTTTTTCTCCTTGCTGTGTTCAAAATCCTGAAGGGAATTTTTCCTTCCATTTCCAGTTAGAAAAGACAAGTATATATAAGAGAAAGAAATTAAGGGAATAAAAGGAAACTAAAGTGAAGAAAGAGAATGATGGGAGCAGGAAGAGAGAGAAGAAATCTCTGTGCCCTTCCTAAAAATGCATTGATAAATTTAATTCAACACTTAAATTTTTTTAGTGTTCTTTACCCTAATGAAGGAAAACAATGACTTGTATAATTTTAAATCAGTAACGATGGCCTGCTTTAAGTTTTTCTTATTAATTTTGATTATATTATCTGAGTAAATTCTCGTGAAGACAGGACAAGACAGAAGCATAGAATTAAACTTATAGCATGTTTAAAAAAACTGATAATTAGAAGATCATATCATTTAAGAGCTGAACAGTGCTAAAAGATGATCTAGATGTCCCCTCATTTATAGGTTAGGAAATTAAGGCCCAGAGAAGGGAAGGGGCCTATTTGTCTACAATTACTTAGGCCAGTATTACATAGGACTCCAGACTCAAAATCTACTACTTTTCCTCCTTAGAATAAGAGAAATAACAACAGTATTTATTGGGCATTCATCTGTGATAGGCATACTAAACTAATTTAATAGGTAGAGGAAATACTGTCTTCTTCCACAGGTAATCAGTAGTTAAATATTATTGTTAGTGCTTTAATAATTTTTTTTTTCTGAAGAGCTATCATACTTCTAAAACCCATTTACATGTTGGCTCCAAACAGGACTTTTTCTTTGTAAATCTGTTTGTATTTTTTGTTTGTTTTGTTTTTAATATAAAACGATGCTGTATTTGTAGATTGCCGAACTAACTTCTTAGAAGTGAGTTTGGGAGGAAAAAGGTATAGCTATGTAATGGTGGGGAGGAATGTGTATTTACATTCAAATTAACTTTGGTTTTAAAGCACAAAGAGAATATTTAAATCATACTATGTAACCTCATGGTTTGGAGCTTATCTTTTTTTTTTTTTTTGCGGTACGCGGGCCTCTCACTGCTGTGGCCTCTCCCGTTGTGGAGCACAGGCTCCGGACGCACAGGCTCAGCGGCCATGGCTCACGGGCCTGGCACGTGGGATCTTCCCGGACCGGGGCACGGACCTGTGTCCCCTGCATCGGCAGGCGAACTCTCAACCACTGCGCCACCAGGGAAACCCTGGAGCTTATTTTAATAGCCTGAAACTTGAACTAAATGGAGACTATGTTACTTTTGAGGGTAAAGGTTTTTGTTAATCATCTAAACAATTTCTCTTTCTCGAAGATCAGGGTGTTTGGTATAATCATGATCAATTAACTGTATCCAGTTTAATCAAGGAAGAAGAAGATGTTATTTATATAAGAAAACTCTCCAATTAATTTAATATAATCTGTAAACATGCCTAAGCATCATCACTGTTATTTCACATTGGTGTTTCCTGCATTCCTTGGATAGCAGCAGACTCTACAAGAAGAACATGGATTATAGAGAGTCCCCTTTTCCTAAAACTCTACAATAGTTGCATTATCATTTTAATGTATGCACACAGTTCTTAGTAGGCAGATACACAGACAGAGAATACTCTAAATGAGGAGTTGTTTGTTTGTTTAATATTTTCTCTCAACTTCCACAGTTGGGTTGAAACTTTCCTATTTCCTTCTTTCCAGATATTATATGAATATGGATATGACACATGATAGGGTAACATTGTTCTGAAAATTAAATATTTTTGAAATGCTTTGAACTTTTTAAGGAAAATTTTTAATTGTTTATAAATGGATTTATGTACTTGTCAAACAAATATTTATTGAGCAAATACCATGTGCCATGCACTGTGCTAGGCACTGGAAATATCGATAGATCGATAGATTGATAGAAAGATATACTGACTTTCTAGATCAAAAATGCTTAAATTCAGACAAAAAATGGGAAGATAGTCATCACTAAGCTGATATTATTGCTTTTTGCAGTATATTCTTAGAAAAATCCAAATTTCATGTGTGATTGACAATAGGTATCAATTGCATATGAAAAATAGTATACAAAAATTTCAAAAAAGTCTTTTCACAAATAACTGTGAGTGACACTTTGGAACTAATTTTTAAATGGGTTGATATGTAGAGATTTTTCTGGAAAATGTTAGAGTGGAGTTACCACATTCAAAGACACCTTGCCAAGTGTTTCTATCATTATCCCTGCTTTCCAGACCCCAAGGCTTTTAGGTCTCAGTAACTTAGTTTATTCCCAGGATAGGCAAATGCTGTGTCACTGATGGAATTTCTAGGAGAGGAAGGGTCATCTCTTCCCAGTCCATGTAGTAATGATCTTAGATAGCTAGTCAGCTCGAAACATACATTGGAGGTACAGATCCACCAAGATATAAGTGACTGAAAGGCCCAAGTGGAAGCAGAATGTTTAATCATTTCTCCTGAGTACATCTGATGACCAAGAATGGATAAAGTGTTATCCTGAGTTTCCCAGGAATGTCATCAAAGATCACAAGTTAGCAAGCCTCCAGGCTGAACATAGTCCTCAGGCATATTTTGTTTGGCTCAAATCTTTTTTATTTTTAGCTGATTGCCAACAAAGAGTTATGACATTTTAAAAGAATTCAATTTCTGACTTTTCTTGAAAAAGCAGAAGATTGAGCTACACTGGATTCACATTCTCACATGTCAGCAACTGGCCGGAGCTGTGCAGCAGCTGCCCCATTTTGAAACGGGAGGACTTCTCCAATATATTACACTCTTTACCACCTCCTGTTGTCTTGCACTCAGTCTACTTCATATTATTGAGTTTAAAACATTTTGCTTCAATTTTCAGATGTGAGAATATGTGGGCTCTATAGAGTTTTCTGCTCTAGACTTTATTAATCCCTGCGACAGGGATGTTCAAGGCTTGGTGTATGCCAAGCTGATACACTCCGCAGACTATATTATTCCCTTCTGTGCAGTACGGCATTGACACAACACACCTGAGACTATCTCAGTCTACCTAACAAAGCAAAGTGATAAAACCAGTAAAAAAGGGAGAATGAGAGCAGATAGATTCAATTTCAGTTTTTTGGTACTTTGATAACCATTGATTACTAGCTTTTTAACACTTTTAACTATTTAAAAATGACTGCCAAGAAAACTTACAAAAGTGTTCTTTATAGTAACCATGGAACTATTAAAGAAAGGTTATGTGATGATTGTTAGTTTTATATATTACAAATGGCTGGCAAAGTGTATTCTTTTCAGTTTCTCTTCACTCAATTTCTGCATCTGTTTTTAAGTCATAGTTATTAGATTTTAATAAAATACTGATCCTTTTGTATTATTTCCCCTTTCATCTTCTGAATACATTTGTTGTTTTTTAGATGGTGGTAGCAGGCACCATAATAATTCAGAATATTGGAGGTAAGCAATTGAAAGTGCACTGCTTATGCATAAATGTGATGGAAATGATTTCCTCCTTTGGCTTCTTGCCTTACTACAGGTCTAGCTGGGAACCTGAACCTCTGTAGACATAGGTGTCTCAGAAGCCCTGTGTGTTGTCCTCATTACTCTTTTTTTTTTTTCAATCCTTTTTAGCACTTGTAGGACAATAGTTTCTAAATTCAGTTGCAGCTAAACCCTTGATTTCAATCTTGTTATTAGGTCTGCCACACACCTCTAAAGCATGGGCTTTCTGTAGTTGTAATAGTGGTGAAGTACCGCTTGGAAAAACTCTCCAGGTGATTCTGAAGTATTTCTCCTCTACTTTTGTCCTGATCACCCCCAGTGGCATGTACTGCTTTAGAGGGAGTGGTGTTTCATGGCTGTGTCAGGTGTGGAAAGGCAACCTTCTTTTGTAACCAAGAAATTGAAAATGACCACGTGGTTTAAAAAATAAACAAACTTGGGCTTCCCTGGTGGCGCAGTGGTTAAGAATCCGCCTGCCAATGCAGAGAACACGGGTTCAAGCCCTGGTCTGGGAAGATCCCACATGCCGCGGAGCAACTAAGCCCATGCGCCACAACTACTGAAGCCCGAGCGCCTAGAGCCTGTGCTCCGCAACAAGAGAAGCCACCGCAATGAGAAGCCTGCATCCTACAGCAAAGAGTATCCCCCACTCGCCACAACTAGAGAAAGCCCGTGCACAGCAACGAAGACCCAACGCAGCCAAAAATAAATAAAGAAAATAAATAAATTTATAAAAAAAGAATAAACAAACTTGAGACAAATGAAAAGTATTCTCATCTTGCATCTTGTTCCCATTAAAAAATGATCCTGAGGGGCTTCCCTGGTGGCGCAGTGGTTGAGAGTCCGCCTGCCGATGCAGGGAACATGGGTTCGTGCCCCGGTCCGGGAAGATCCCACATACCGCGGAGCGGCTGGGCCCGTGAGCCATGGCCGCTGAGCCTGCGCGTCCGGAGCCCGTGCTCTGCAACGGGAGAGGCCACAACAGTGAGAGGCCCGCGTAACAAAAAAAATTAAATTAAATTAAAAAAATATGATCCTGATATCAAGAACTATGTAGAAACAAAAATTACTTTTAATTATTGATAGTTATTGACTAAATGTATTAAACATTTAAATCCAAAATACTATGGGAATCATGTTTGTATATGTTGTAAAGAAGTCACAAATGCTGAACGATATCTTAATTTTCTTTTACCATTGACTGGAGTGCTAAATAAATACTTTTACTTTAAGGTTAAATACAGAGAAGGTTGATATGCACTTTGGATCTTATTCAAGAAGGTATGGTCAGAGGAAATTTTAATCTTATTTCTTATCTGTGATAGTTCAAAATAATTTAAACATGACAGCTTTAATAAAGTTTAACTGATACTCGAGATATGAGCTATTTCACTTTAAGTATTGTTCAGCAAAATTCCATCTTTAATGAGTTTCTTGGTCAAGGAAAAAATTAACATTCCAACAATAAATTGTATTTGCCATTGTTTTGGAAATCCTGAACATTCATGTTTTAATTCTTTGAATTTTCAGGGCAAAAAAATATATTATTGAAGGAGAAGAATACTTTCTTGGATGTCGTACCAAATAATTTCCTTGTTAACACACACTTCACTCTTCACATTAGCAGTTAGTAACCAGTCTCTTACCTAATGAATCTATATAATATCATTGAGTTTAAGATCTACTTTGGAATACTTTATTTTAGCAAATATGTATTGCTTAAATGTGCACTTGTAATGTCGCTAATGTGAAAGTATGTTTTGGTATTTTCAATCCCTTATTTTCCTCTCTATATGATTAGTAAGAACCATCAAGCACATTTTGTTTGGATTAGGGTTAACTATTGTTTATTTTATGTAGAGTTTTCAACCCAGGACTTTGGATCTAAATTTGTGACTGGCAAAATGCCTGCTGTTGTATTCTCTGTATCCTTCACCCTGATCTCTTCCTTGTTCCCTAATCTGGTGTGCAACTGTTATTGGACATGACTCTATTTTAGCACTTGCTGTTATTAGGTTGAAGTTATCTCTGTATATGCTTTTACTTCCCCACTATATTGTCAGCTCCTCCAAGGCAAGGATTATGTCTTATTTCTCTTTGTAGTCCCAGAACCTAGCACAATACTTGGAACTGGATAAACCTTTTTTTTAAGCTTAATGGAGCTGAATATGATTTATATGTGCTATTTCCAAGTACTTTTTAATATTCTAGCTATATTTATCAAGAAGAAAAGGGGACTTCTAGACTGATCACTAGCTTTAAATATTTGAAAAGCTGAACATGAAATATAGAAAGATACTAGACTAATTTAGTATTGTTCTGGAGGGCAGAACTGGTTCTAATGGTTAGAACTCTACAGTGAAGCTGGTCTGGTTTCATTTGGAATGCTAAGCTGTGTGATAATGGAGATGGCCTACACTCCTTTGATAAAGCTCTGTATCCCTGAAGACATTCAAACAGAGCTGGTTGGTCAGTTGTCAGAATGTTCTAGAAAGAATTCTGAATTTGGTGGCAGATAAATCATCAGTTCTTCCAACTGTTTGTTGATTTGCTTGCTTGCTTTGTTTCAGAAACTTTTTTTAAAAAGTGACTTAGAAGCAATCACAGAAATTTTTAATGCCCCTCAAATTCAGAAAAGCTGGTAATGCTTATTCAGTTTTTAGAATAATGTCCTCATGATTTTCTTCACATTGGTTAAAAGTTTATCTATTGAGAGCCCACTAAATAATAACTGAAACATTTTCAGAACTTTTTTTTCTTTTGTCTTAGCAAGATGTGCATATAATCATTCCTTTATTATAATAGAATTGGAAGCTTGCTCTTGTGAGCAGAACACTGGGTTGGAAGTCAGATACGTTGAATTCTTTCTGCTCCAGTCTCTGCCATTAGGTAGCCATGTGTGTTGGGAAAATTCCTCTCAGCTTCAGTTTCCTCTTTGTTAAATTGCTGGGGGTAGGATGGGAAAAGCACGAAGCTTAAGGTCCCTTCTTACCACAAAAGTCACCTTCTAATAGGCACTTTGATAGGCATGTTAATTCCTTCAGAGCATTAAAATATTTTTATTACAGGAAAGTTTTGTGGGAGGGTTATTCTTGGTTCAAAAGATGATTTGGTCTTTTCTTAGGTATCTTTAACAAGTCAGAAACTATTGCTCTAAAAGCTTTCATGGATGCTGTTCTTTTTCAGAAAGGGGAGTCTCAGTTCTTAGAACTACCCTTTAGGGCAGCCACTGAGCCTCTGAGGTTAAAATCTAAGAACTCCAGGCTTACGAAGTAATTTCTTGATTAATCTAAGCTAGGTCCGTGGAAGCCCTTAACAGCGCTAAGCCATGTATGCTTGAGAAGAAACAGCATACTTATTTGGGAGGATCTTTAATATGTTGTGCATATGATTTATTTAATGTTATTCTTTCAAAATGGATTTTGACTTTTCCCTTTGTTATTGGAAATACATTGGATATTTATAAGATGGTATGAAGTGTATAGCATCAGATTAAATTTTTGCACTTCTTACATGCCTATCTGCATATATAATATAGTTCAGATAGCATTTTTGAAAAATAGTATATTCACTATGAGTATAAATGCTTGGAGTTTTTCAGTGGTTGTTTAGAAATGAAAAATAATATAATAGATTGTCTTTAGGTCAAGTCTCCTCCTAGACACTTTAATTATACTTACAACAGCCCTTCAGGGTAGATGATATTATGCTCGTTTTACAGAGGTCGAAATCAGTGCTCAGAAGGGATAAATGACTTGCTTACCTTTACCCCTTAATACAGCCAGGACTCAAATCTCACTTTGTCTACTTCTAAAGGCTTTGTTCTTTCTGCTCTGATATAGTAAATACTTGTAAAGCTATGAAAAGATTAAATGTTGAGGATTTTTAAAACTCATTGGGGACAGGAACTATGTGTTTTCATAACTTGACCTAGTTTCTGGTAGAGGAACTCAATAAATAATATTTGTTGAATGAATGAGACAATTAAATAAACTCTGTTTAAAAGCCTAAGATTTTGCTTCAAGGAGACAATTTTATATACTATATAAATGATAGAAAGAAACTTGAAAGTCCATAGAGTGGTTTATAGTTTAGAATTATATAAAAATTAAAAGGTTGAAAATATTGAGGAGAGTTAGATCTTATTTATGTAAAATAGATAAAGTATTTTAATATCATCTGCTTTCAGGTTGGATAATCATGTCTTAGATTAATGCTTCCTGACTCTTATTCTTTGTAACATTTAAACATTTCTCAGTTTTCTTGGGATTCTATGCCCCTGATGAATCTATGAGAAAAATGAAACAGGGGCCTTTAGAAGCAAGATGATCATGAATTGTCCTTGATCAATATTTGTTACATGGATCTTTTAGTAAGACTCAGTTTATTCCCTGCATCTTTGTATTCCATATATCTAAGTAATTTTGCTCATTCATTTATGCTCTTAAGTACGTAGCACTTAGTAGGTGTTTAATAAATCTTATTTATTGTAGGAAGAAAGTAAGGAATAAGAGAAGGAGGGAGAGAAGGAAAAGCCAGTGACCTGGTTTAAAAAAGGTCTTCCTTTAAAAAAGGAAGATCAACTGGCAAGAGAAGACCACACAAAATGCATAAGTGAGCATATGGTTTCTTTAGGGAAAAATCGACTGTCAGAACTTCACAGAAAACCTTTTTTCCCCAGTACAATCACACACCAAGTATTAGTCACAGGGCACTAGTGTGGTCTGACAAATAGATTGGAAAGATCTACTGTCTTTGAAAAATCTCTAAACTTTATAATAGAAAAAAATGTGACTCACTAAATTTAGCACTCTTTTTTTCTAGGGTTATGGAAACCATTACCTTTAGAAAATGGAGAGCCACGTAGTAAAATACTACTTAGAAGCAATTCCTGATTGCCTCCCAACACTGATGAATTAGGGGCCCAAAATAGGCCAGAGCCAGAGCCAGAGAGG